CAACTCCTTTTCAACAATGGAAACATTCTCACCCTTGTATCATAATGGGATAATTCATAGCCTAATCATTGCATTCATCTGTGAAAGAAATGTCTGGGATTGGTTAACTACTGTTAAATTTCATACAGTCACAATTGAAAATTCTATTAAAGACCAAATCGTACAACTTACCTCCTACAAAACTTCTGTAACGTAGTGGGGGTGGGGGCACAGTAGAGGGGAAGAATAAACATATACAGTACTTATTTCTATAACCAGCCATGAGGCCATAGTTGATATTTACAATTTTCTTCTTCAACCACCAATTTCATGTTTCCTTGTCCTTAGGCAGGATCGTAACTAGTCCATGTTCTTTGCCTAGTATGGTAACCCAGACTTTCATTTCTGCTATATCTGAACCTGCCTTTGCCCTGTCTTTTTTTAGTTGAATGGTCTTCCTTGGTACTTATTATTGGGCATGGAAATCCTTGACAACTTCAATCTTTTCTCCATTTACCATGATGTTACCTATTGGTCCAATTGTGAGGATTTTGGTTTTCTTTACATTGAGTTGTAATCTGTTCTGAATGCTACAAACCTTGATCTTCAAGGTTTTGCTTCAAGTTGTCCTCACTTTCAGCAAGCAAGGTTGTTGTCAAGGATTTCATCTTGCTTGGATCCACAATCAGTGTTCTGGATCCACAACCAGTGTGTCTGCTTCCTTGAAGTCGTGCTTGTATTCCATGATTAGTCGATGCTCAATGCCCATGGAAGCAGCAGTCAAGAGCTCATATGATGCATTAAATTGGGTGTCTTCTGTGCAAGCCTTCTTTAAAAGGTTGAAAAGCAAGGATGGTACTTTGAGGACTAAGAATATGGAAAGTACCATGGACTGCCAACAGAACCAGCAAGTATGCCTTGGAAGAGATTCCACCAGAATGCTCCTTAGAAGCAAGAATGGCAAGAGGACTTCTCAAGTATGTGGGACGTGTTGTCAGGAGAAAACTGTCCCTGGTAAAGGACATCATGCTTGGTAAAGTCCAGGGGGCGCTCAAAAGAGGAAGACCTTTGACAAAATGGATTGACACAGTGACTGCAGCAATGGCCCCAAACATAAGAGCAATTGGGAGGATGGCAGGGGCCAAGTGATATTTCATTTTGCTGTTCATAAAGTCACTGTGAGCCATTTGACAGCTCCTCACAACAAATCGGCCGTGGACGTCCTAAGACAACCCAGAGAACCCCCGGCTCCAGATATCGCACTCTCTCCCCCTAATTATGTAGCAAGCACTTCCCCTGGGTTATCAGGATCAAGCACCTTAGCAAGTGGTATAAAGAACTATAAATGACCGAGTGGCAGTTTCAATTCCTAATCTAGTAGAACCATGTCGTGGACACTATGAAAGCATTCCTTTTGGGGGAATACAGACCTCGAGGCCAGGAGAGCATAGAGTGGAAGAGGCAGGCAAAAATTCTGCTAGTGGGTTTACCTTTTGATGTCCAGACA